TATGGGGGAAAAAAAAAAAAGTAATTTGATATCTAATCTTTTACTTCTTCAGAGTTCTTAGAAACTGGTTTTCTAGTCCTGTTTGTAGTTCAGGTTAGCCTAGCCGCTCCCGTGCTGTCCAGGCATTTTTCCCAGAATGCTAAGATTTAGAAAACAAAATGTTCTACTGCCTTTTAAGCAACACTCTGTTTTTGTACAGGAGATACTACTGAGCTACTCTGTAGTTTGGCTTGATTTTGGAGGAGGCTGCTGTAACACTTTGATTTTCCCAAAGAATCGATACTGTTTATCTTTGTCTAAAATGTAGCTTGAACTGATGAAATGTCCAGAATCCAATTTCCATTAAAAAGTAAAATATTTTATTAAGTCTTCTGGGAATTGCTAATGTAAAAGATATATTTAGGGATTGCTGAGTGACTTCAATTTTGGATATTTTTCCTGTCTAGCTGCTATTTATAATTAGTCCAGGATGGAAATGAATGTCTATCCAGTTGTGCTGGTGTGATCATTTGGCCAGCTGCTTGACAAACAACTGACATGTTAGTGGGACACAGATTTTGAAGAAAAAAAAACAACCCCAAAACTGCCTGTGTCTGTTCCTAATTTGAAATTGAATGACTTGGTTCTCATCTCATACTATGCTTATCTTGTAGAAATCACTGGAGTTTTTCTTGATTGAAAAGTGCAGTCAGAATTCAGGCCTCAATCTTTGATAAGTAGTCAACAATGCAGCATTTGAATTTGGGTGTCATATCTTTTCACAATAGCATAAATTAGGAGTAGTGTTGTTGAGACCAATTTAAGATGTGTTTAGAATCAGAATTAGATCTGTGATTTTAAATCTAAGACTGCAATCTCATCTTTTGCAGAAGCTTAGGGAAGTCTGACAAACCGATGACACAGATTTTCAGGGCTGAGTATTGTTTTGTGTTTTTAGCAGGATCATAGACCGCTGTTTAAATTGAATCCTGATGTCAGGAACAGTATGTTTCATGTGGGGAAATGGGCTGAGTATTTAAAGGGTTTCAGTAAGGCTGCCAGGACAGCTTTTCTTTTGACTCCAGCAGTCGTCTTTAGGAAATGATCTAATAGCTCCAAGATCTCTGTCAGTCTGAATGGATGTAAATATATGGTCATCACTAAAGGTATATTTGTCACCAAAGCTAGTTGTAAAAGGAAAAATTGTTCAGAAAAACTTGGTGATTCTCCTCTCACCTCAGTTTGTCATAGATATTTCACTTTGACAGAAATTTTCTCCCCAGCTGTTTTTTATTGCAATATTCCTTGAATCTTATGAGCTCCTGGCAAGTTGCCACAGCAATCCCTTCACTGTACAGAGTTTGGACACCTGCCATCTCAAATGATGATCGTTTGACCAGTTGTGTTTTGGTTCACGTAGCAGGGTTGTTCTTAGATATTAAAGCTCAGCAGGTGTCAGTTGGATAGTTTTAAACCTATTCTGGACATAAAAATCAGAACATAGCTAGCAATGAAAAGTGCTTTCCTGAAATCAGAACATAGCTAGCAATGAAAAGTGCATTCCTGATTTTTTTTTTTTTTATGAGACACTTCCACAGAGATACTATAAAGCTTATGGATAAGGATGTAAACTTTTGTGCAAAATCGCCACAGCAGCACCTTCACAAATGCTGCATACAATGACATTTAACACACGTACGACAGACCATGTGACGCTACCCTTTTTGCATGTTTCATTTCATATTTGAAGCTTGGTACACATACCACAAATTTATCAAAGCTTTAGGCAAACAAAGGAGGCAAATGTAACATTGTGTCAGGTGATGTTGCAGTTTTCATCCCAAAGCCATGTGCAGTTCAGTTGTACTGGCATTTCAATCAGTTAGTCGTGAAGAATGCAAATCTTGAAGGCATCCCAATCTTCACATAATCGTGCAAAATAAGCTCTTTATCGCTGGACTGACACTGTTGTATGCTTATCTTTGTGAGCTGATTGAGTATTCCAATTATTTAAAATCAGAGACATGGTCAAATACCACAAAACACTATATTGGAATCCTTTTTTAATAGTCATATCTCAGATTGATTTATGCATATATATGTTACACTGTTTGCTTATGTGTTGCTAACAGTCTGAATCCTAATTGCAGAGTTACTGGGAAAAAAACATCTAAACGGACAAAGTCAATCAACGGGTCCCTGTATATCTTCAGGGGCCGAATAAATACAGAAGTCATGGAGGTGGAGAATGTGGAGGATGGAACGGGTAAGAGACCAAATACTGTCTTTTAACAACACAGCAAGTCCAGATCTTGTGTTGGAAGTTTGTTACAAAAGTACTTGTCCATCTCCTTTAATGAAATCTTAAGTAAGCTATGTAACTTTTGATGCCTTCATTATTAGACCAGCTTATATAGTTGAAAGACTGGACATGCTTTCAGGCACTGGTCCTTCATTCTGAAATGACCTTATGAAGAGTTTGTGTACCCTGAAGCTTGTCTATTTTTTCTCCTAATCCAAGTTAATTTATTAAAAGATACTTTATCTTCTTTCATCCTTTCTTTTCTTACATCTTAAGCCATTACAGCTATAATAACAGAACTTCTGGATCTTCTTCTCATTTAGAATACTACCAAATATTAGTCTTAGCATCAAATCAGTAGCATGGAATGTGACCATGAACAAAATATGGGAATGCAGTTGTGTTACAATTCTTGTGTTCTGACACAGGCAGGAAGACTGGATGGGTTTCTGATTTCATCCACAAAGGCCACACCAACCCCTGCTCCTATTGTAATAAGTTGGGAATTAATATTATGTCCTTTAAAAAGTTGACATTTAAAGAGTTCCCATGTCCTGTGGACAAAAGTCCTTATGGTGCAAGAAGTTAGCCTGTCCCCAGGAAGTTCAGAGCAAATAACCTGAACAAACATCATAGATTTTTTTCACTGATGCCATTGTATTTAAAATATTTTAGTTCTTCTTCTGAGGTGAAATTACAGAGTGTCACTCTTAGAACTGAAACATTCGGTCAGTTGAACAGCCTAGCCATGGATACTTCTATTAATATTTGTACTTCAGAGTGGTAAGTAACAACCAGTCACATGGACAGTCAGTATGACTGATGCATGAAGAACACCTCCAGAAATCAAGCTCTTCAAAGAAGAAAATTTTAATTAAGGTGTCCCACACTGATTTGATTAAATAGCAGGCTTTCTATTCACTGTGTGCACTGTGCTTTGGGTTTTTACAGCAGATTACCACAGCAACGGGTACACTGTGACAAATGGCTGGAAGATACACAACACAGCCAAAAATAAATGGTTTGTCTGTATGGCCAAGACTGCAGAGGACAAACAGAAATGGCTGGATGCTATAATCAAGGAAAGGGAGCAGAGAGAGAGTAAGTGGATAATGTATTTTCTAATGCACTGAATGAACTTGTGTACAAAGGAGAAATGTATATGCATGTGTAAATATCTGAGAGAAAAAGAAAAGGTTGAAGTTTTTCCTCCATGGGCAGAATTCAAATCTATCCTTAATGACAAAGAAAATCAAGTGATTGAAAACAAGTATTTCTGAATGTGTACCTTGGGGTTTTTATGGACCTGTGTCAGTGTATTTATCAAATATTTTTATTTGCCAGAGTCAGTTTCTTTGATGCATTGAATTACTGTGGAAAAAATTACATTTAATCAATTTCGTTTTTTGGTCTGTTATTTGTAAATAAGATAAAGTTGTATTTGTATTTATCAGTAAAAGGAAAGAAGAAAATCCAGCATGCAGCCTTTTTCAGAGGCAATGGCATAAACTCGTTCTCACAAACTTGACCTCCAGGATCTTGAAGTTAACAGAACAGTTCATGGAGGAAAAACTCTAGAAATATTACGCTTAGACTGAGAACAGTGACAAATGTATGCTGATGCTTGTCACTTTTATCTTTTCTTGTGGAATGAAACAAAAACTAAGCTTATCTTGAAATGGTGCTGTACAATAGAAGCAAGCTCAAAAAGCCATGAATCAGGGTGGGTGATAAAAGCTCCGAGTTCCTTTAAAAGTCAGAACTATCTTTCACAAGTGAACCTGCTTCCCTGTTTGCTCAATGGGAAAAATAATAGCTCATTGCCAGAGGAAATGACACTTAGTTTAAAACATTCTGTGCCTGACTTGTAGAAGTGGTTCCCCTCTCCGCACACGCAACTCCAGTAAAGATGTAATTGCTCATCTACGTTCATATTGAAAGAGGTCAGTCTGTAGTTAGTAGTGTATTTTCAAAACTTGTACTTGCTAAGCAATAATGCTTTAGATTTTTAAAGTATTTTAAGTTACAGATCTGTCACTGAAGTTTAATGAAAGCAGAGAATCTAAATCCTTTAATGTCCTTTGAAATCCAAACCTTAGTTTTTATGTTACAATGCTTTGCATCTAATCTGCTAAACACAATGCATATCGCAGTGTTGTTTGTTACCATAGAATCTAAAACATTTAACATACCTATCTGCTAAACACAATGCATATCGCAGTGTTGTTTGTTACCATAGAATCTAAAACATTTCTAACATACCTTATCATATATGAACTCCAATAAACCTTTTGATAATAGCAAGGATACTACCTTCAAAATGTAGATTGGGCATGGTGTAAATTCAAAAGAACTAACTGAAAGCTACTGAAAGCAACACAAAATTCAGGTTTTTTTTTTATTATTATTTTTTATTAAAAGGAAGTGTTTTACTATTCTGAGCTGGTGATCTGTGCTCATTGGTCAGTTCTGCATCCCACTCTACTGTAAGGATCCTGATCTTCCACATGATATATTTTTTTAATGAAATACATTTCTTGGCTCTTACTTTTACCCTCAGAGTGCTAAATCATATCTCTAAAAGATCCAGTAAGTCTCCATTTCATAGTAAGTTTTTGCTTTATGAGGTCACTAGTGCTCTGCGGAATTTCCTGTGCATCAGGTAAAATGTGTGAGGAGAGAGAAGGTTCAATAAGAAGTAAAAAGACAGGACATATATAAACAGGGAGCTTGAGAATATGGGGAGGTGACTGAAATAAATATTAGGAAGGGAAAAGAACTATTCCTTAATAGAAAGTTTCTCAAAGTTTTCCATGCAGCATTGGCTAGTAAGAGTGTTTTTTTTCTGATGCTTTTTGTCATACAGTTTTATGATGTGGCAGCTGATGACAGGCACTAGGGATAAACATAGATACTCTGGCAGACATTCCAGGCCTTATTGGAAAATCTCCTTTGGATCTGAGTACTTGCAAAGTCACAGAGATATCAGTGTTTGGATTAGAAAGCTGGTGAGATTCCCAATTCTGTAGGATGGGTTGGGTAGAACGTGCATTCCAGCCTGCCATTTACATCAGAGCCTGGGGAATTCAGTGATGTAAGACCAGCAGGAAACATGTATACTATTACACAGGCTGTTTTCTATCACAAAAACAAGTTCATGTTGCAAATTAGCCTCGGCTACACGTGTCAGCATTTGCATTGAATTGGATCACAGTATTTGGGGGAAGAAGAGGATGCAAAAATAACGGCAGTAAGCCAAGGGATTTGCAGAGCCAAAACCTTTAGCCAGATATTGGACACATGAAAGAAATACTGTATTTGAAAGACAAAATGTTGTGCAAGTCTAATTTCTGGAACGTGCTTTTCAAGCCTCTAAAACAAATGCATTAAATGTTTTCAAAAAGCTAGAAAGCAGCTCTGATGACGCAGAAGACTATTAATTCATTTCAGTATCTTACTGTAAAGCAACAGGATTTATGCCCAGTTAGGGTGAACTGCTCTTCCTAAAGAATGCACAGTTTTCATTTTGTAGCCTTACAGTGATCACTTAAATTCTGCTTAATGACAATCTCTGTAAAAATTAGGCACGTAAGTACAGGACAAATTCATGATGCCTGTTTTCAAGCTAATCTTAGAGATGTCTAAAATCTGTACCTCTGTTTTGGACTCCAGAGTTGCCTAGATTTGCAAGTTCTAGCCAGAAAACAAGGCGATTTGTTCAGGCTAGAAAGACAAAACATCTAGAGCAGCAAAGCAGCTTTTCTTGTGGGCTGTCCTCCTAAAGCAATTTGCAAATCTAAAGGGAAGAGTGCCAGAAAATGCCAGTTATGACGATAGTTGTAACATAGACACCTGTTGTTTTCAGAGATCATCCTCTTGACTGTAGCGATTTTCATGTTAACATGAGCTATGTGGAAACTCATACAAAGTGGACATGAATTTTTCTCTATATCCAATTATCTATCATTCCTTAAATCATTCAGTATTTCTTTCATTGACTGGATAATATGATTGTCAAACTGTATTTTTAGCCTAGGGGTATTAGTAAATAGGCTAATTAAGAAAGGATGAGAAAATAGTGTTCCTGTCTAGTTTTGATTTATTTAAGGATGTGAATGTGATTTCAGCAGTTTTGTATTTTTGGCTTCAAGTAATAGAACACTCAAAAAGTCATCTGCTCTGTCAAGCATTTAGCTGCCTTGAACAAGTCTTATGCCGGCAGTTATTTCAAAAGTGAAATTGCAACAGGAAATCAGTTTCAGAAGGTATATGTTTTATCTTGCTTTGTTTGGAACTTCTCCATGTTCTGTAAACCATTCTACTTTGTGTAATATGATGTAACCATAAGTTTAAAGCTACTTTTTAAAATGGAGAAGAAAAGCTGCAAGCATCTTGTTGGTGCTAAACTCACCAATGACAATTGTGTACTCAGATAAATAAATGACCCAATTTCCCCCTTATTTGGAAAATAATTTAGTTAATTTTTGTGTTTCTACCACTTTGTCTGTTTGGCCTCAGCCTTTGACTTTGAGAAAACGCTTTATCTGATGTTAAGGATCTGAAGGAATTTCTGCTTTGTATTCCAGGTTTGAAACTGGGAATGGAGAGAGATGCATACGTCATGATTGCAGAGAAAGGAGAGAAGCTGTACCAAATGATGATGAGCAAGAAAGTGAACCTTATCAAAGACAGGAGGAGAAAATTAAGTACTGTTCCCAAGTGCTTTCTTGGCAAGTAAGTGGCATTTGAATTGAAAGGGCCCTTTCATACCAATTAAAAGAACGGACACTGGATTTTCTGGGTATGGCATTGTGAGGTCAGATCAGATGTGCTTTGATGCAGCTTAATTGAAAAGGCCATAACCCCCATTACAGTTGTGATTTATTAAAATTAATCATTGATTTCTGTTTTACGCCATGCACAGGCTGTATAGTGGCAGCTCATTCTATTGTACAGTAACTCATAACAGCTGTTTCAGATCAGCAAAAGGAATAAGAAAAAATACCTTAACTCCCACAAGCTCAGGGCTGTTGGTGGCCTAACCTGTATCCTCTTTTGTATACAAGCAAATGCTTACCAGGTGATGTTTAAATCCTGCAGAACTGTCCAAGTCTCAGGATTGAATTTAGAAGTTTCCTGTTTGTCAGTGTAACAGACCCAAATGAAATTTTGTGCATCAGGAGACCTGATGCATTTGTTAGAAGTTTAGGGCTTTATTGGCTGGAAAAAACCTCTTTCACTCAGGCTAGATATTACAAAATAATTCTTAAGAATGACATGTATGAGGCAGTAGAAGAGAGACCTCGTGGACGAATCAGATCAGAGATTAGATATGGTAGCAGTGGGGCTGTTGTAGGGAAATGTCCTGCATGGCACACAGGGACACACATTAGTTGACCTGAGAAGACTTTTCTACTTCAGCTGTTTATGATTGAAATGATCAGCTGCGGGAGGAAAAAAGTTCTGAGAGGCAGATTATCCATTCATTTCCCTTCCCTTGCCCTGGTCTCTGTAACAGCAGTTTGCAGGCAGCATTCCTTGTGTACAGGGTGTGGAAATGATGCATTGTTTTTCTGCCTGACAGAAGGCAATCTGGCAGCATAGGCTGGCAATATTTCAGCTATAAAAAAAATTCTTGGTTTTTGGAGATCTGGTTGCTTTTTTCTCCACACCCCCCCCTCCCCA